TTTTTTTTTTTTTTTTTTATCTATGCAGAACATATGCTGTTAAACAAGAACACTCACAATTTTAAGATACTGATCACCAACAGACTAATACGATTCTTGTACAGTAGTAGCCTTTCAAAATTTCCCCACCTTCCTTGATGTGCCCTTGGCTGGTCCCCTACAATTCTTTTTTAACCATCAATCTTGGTACTAATATATTATGTAATGATTTGTGGACATTAAGATTTAAATAGAAGCCTAATCTCCTGGTCAGACCCTGTAATTCAGTGAAACGGTGGAGTCAGAGTAAACAAATATGCAAGAGGGGGTCAGTCCAGTGGCTTTAAGTTGGAGGGGATTTTGTTGGGAGTTGGAGGGAAGTGGGCTGCCATTTGGCTGGCGTTTGACTGGTAAGGGCCATTTTGAATTGCTGCTACTGTATGCCAAATATTGAAGTCATATTGATTACTGCCACTCAAACTTTAGCATCAGTATGTATGGACCCACATGAATTGATCTCCAATACTACCACTTGATCTCTGCTTCTACAGTACGTTTAGCGGACTAAGATTTATTCACTTCATCATAAGTAATACTAAAAATTATGGTATGATCTGATTATTTAATATTGCTAGTAATAATCTGATTTAAATCAGACGCAACCGCACACTAAAGTCACCTTGATCCAAATACACATACACTATTCAAAAAAAGTGAGCTAAGCAAAGGTAAAATATGACTTTAAAAAAATCTGCCACAGCTCAACAATGTGTTACAAAATAACTTTCATTTTATCAGATTTAGACCAACACAGCATGGTGACACAGAAAACATGACAGTGGATTACAGTCTGCTGATGGATGACAATAGTAAGAGCGACAAAGAGGTGAATGAGACTGTATGCTGTTAAAGGGAGGACAAAGTATTTTTGGCACCAGTAAGAGGTCAGGGACAACCTATCAGAGAGATAAGGGTTTATAAAGTCATTACCTGCTGGCAACATACATGAGCAACAATGACATAAAAATATCAACAATAGCCTCCTGGCTAACACACAGCCTGGATATTGCCATATTCTGCAGTTTCATTGAAATTCCAATTTTCTTTTTTATTATTTTTAATTTTAAAAATAATTTCAAAAAAGAATTTGGTTAATTTATGTCAAATCACATGTTAACACTATATTTCCTACTGTTTCTGGTGGACCTGTAAGGAGGGGAATCCCAAGTACAGCACATCCTGGTCCAAGTGTATGCACAATGATATGCACAATATGCCCCCCCCCAGTAAAGAAATTACATCATTTGAAGACAAGGAACACGTTTTCATTGATTCAAATTTCTTCCAAGTAATCCAACCTTTAAATAAGAAAGTTAAGGAGTTAAGATTATGCAACCATCCAAATAAATATGCTACAAAAATTGCCCCAAAGCAGTAATAAAATGTATGTTTTTTAGTTGTATTAATTGTGTGCATATGTATTTTTTTAGTTAATTAAATAAGAAAAAAAACAAAACTAATTTGATATTTTGACACATATTTCTGTTTTTCATGAAGCTTTTGTGCTCCTTATTTTTGATCATGGAGACAAATGGTGGCTGTAAGTAAATTTATTAAAAGTGATTTAAAATAATTTTAAAAATTTTTAATGTTGAACCCCTGTTGAAAAACATTGTCACTTCTACAGAACATGTCGCAGACTTAACTTAGATTTACCTTACAAAAAAATCAGGAAGTAACTAACAGCATTTATGTAGTCTGTTTCTAATTCCTTTACCTAACATAACCACAACATGTCAGTA